TCTAAGCATCCAAAAATGTGTGTGTTCGAAAAGATGATAAGATTTTAAATCACAATAAATGGAAGCGTACGAAGGGGCAGGAAGTTGAAATGATAGCCAAGAGGTGTGTGCTCTGACATCCGCGTTGGAATGAGGTTAGCCGCCGAATTTTGGCTCTAACTTTTCGAGTTCGAAACCAAACACTCCAGCTAACTGTCGTTAGTGGAGTGCTTGGGGGGCAATTGTGGGGGCCGAATATTGGGAGTCCTAAAGAGGCTGAATAATTGGACCTGGAGAGTCAAAATATATATATCGTATTCGGCCCCGTCTCGCACATTCAAATCCTACCTTATTCGGCCAAATAGCCAATTAAGCAAGCGGCCGAGTGAAAAGCGGTTTGCAACAAAAGAAGCCGAGTAAATAGTTATACGACGAATTGAAAGTGGGCCCAGTCCCGAGGCCCAAGAAAGAAAAGATATAAATAGAAGAACATCAGCCAGAAAGAGGTATGTGAGAATTAGTACATTTGACTTAAGATACAAGTAACTAAGAGAGTATACACTGACTTAACCATCGGAGTGCTAATTTCGGCACCTCCGACCGGAGTGTTCATTCTTTTTCAGGTGATTAGCTGAGGATCTCGAGCATCCCATTGGATCCTAAGAGTATTTCCAAACCACTTCTCCACACAATGATTTCAAGGCACAGAGTAGTAGGTGAAAATTACTGTCATTTCATTCAGATCTTCTAGCACAACTGGCTCCATGGTAGAAATAGACTCAAAGAGTGAAAAAGACAAACAAAACAAGACAGTGATGTGATGTCCGAGTAAACACGCCCAAAATCACCTGACTTTAACATAACAAGACTGACTCAAAACAACATGACTGACTCAATTCCCAAGTCTGAAAGTAAAATAAATAGCATTTTCAAAGTGCTAAAAAGTGCGTGCCATCCATCACATCTGGAGTAAAATGAGCACCATCAACAGGTGGTTCATCCTCGATCACATAGTCACATTATCCCCCCAGTTCATTGATCTAGTGCTGATAGACTTTGTAGGACCCGACAGAGTGATGACCTTGTTATCAATCAGATCTTGAACTTCATGGCAAAGACGAAAGCAACCATCAGTGTCATGACCAGTTTGTTAATGGAAGGCATAGTACTTAGCAGCTTGATGCCTAGCTGGAAGGGGATCTGGGAGAGGTCAAGGGTCAAGGGGTTTGAGATGGCCTTGTCCTATGAGGATTTGGAGAGCTTTGGACAGGGTCATGTAAAGAGGATTGAAGGTGCGGTTACCAGTCCTGACAGTTTTGACAGAGGGATCAGCAAGTGTTGACTAGGGTTGATGATTTCTTACGAGTGTAGGATTGGAGTTGAAATGGGTGTTTCTGGTACGACATCCCTTTTTTTGGCTTGCCCCTTGATTCAAAATGCTCCCAACCTGAGTGACAAAAGTGTTATCCACAGTGTTTGCAACAACTGCAAACACTTGCTGTTTGTTTAGCCCTTTGACCATCAAAGCCTCAATAGCCCACTGAAGATGTTCATAAGGATCAATACTTGCCCCGACCTTGTTCTTGCGACTTGCTTCAGCTTTGCCAAGGGATTCGGTCGCTATATCAAAGCGAGACCCATTTGTTGTCGACATATCATCACCCAGACTTGAGATAACCTCTTCTAGTTGGCCATTTTCAATTGCAGTTCATCCCAAGATTGGGGAGCCTTTTGGTGTGAAATGTCTAGCATGTGATATGGTCGATGATGGAGCCAAAATCCCAAAGGCTAGATCTGCCTCAGTTCTCTGAAGATCTTCAATCATGCTAATTAGCTCAGAAGTAGTGGGTTCATGGATAAAAGATGATTGAGGTTCGAGTGCATTCATCATACATAAGTCCTTGCTTTCTGGAATGAACACCTCAGACTTGGGTAAATGGGACGAGGTCATATATATGCTGAGGTTGTAGGTGGATGGTAGTGTATGGATGAGGTTAAGGTGTGGATAAGATACTTGGTCATGGATGGGATGTGGGTTAGTGGTAACATTGGGGCTTTGAGATGGAGCTATCGTCTGGTTGTCGATGAGATTCTGAACCTCATGACAAAGGTGGTAGCAACGATCAGTGCCATGACTACCCTGTTGATGGTACACATAGTATTTGGTAGGGTTATGTCTGGCAGGGAGTGGGTCAGGAAGAGGTTGAGGATCAAGGGCTTTGAGATACCCTCTTTCCATCAAGACCTTTAGTGCGCTAGTTAGGCTCCTATAGAGGGGGGTGAAAGTTCTGCCTTGAGCTCGAGTTGAGCCGGCTGTTTGTGGGTTGGCATTGACAAAAGGGTTGGTAGTTTTGGGATTAATGGTGATGGTATTGACTTCAGTGGGTCTGGGAATAGTGCTACTGCCAGCACTGGTACTCTCGAAAAACACCCTCCTTGTCGGTTCACTTGTTCTGGGAATAAACCCTCTGTTAAATGCACTCTCGATCTGAACCCCTAATTCATGCAAATTTTTGAAAGTGAATAGTGGAGCAGCTATTAACTTTTGCATCATATCAGGCTCAAGGTTCTGTACTACTATCTGCACTTGGTCCCTCTCAGAAGGGCGATCTGTCATATGTGTTGCCTTTGCTCTCCACCTTGCAACAAATTCCACAAAAGGTTCTCCAGGATTCTGGTGGGTTGCTTCAAGATCTTGAATGGTCATTTCAAGTTGGGTATTGGAAGAGTATTGATTGACAAACGCCTCAGCCAACTCTTCCTAGTTCTGCTTCATTGTATCCTCCAACTTGGCGTACCAAGTGGCTGTTATACCCGACAAGGTTATTCTATATAGACAGAGTTTATGAGGCTTAGTCAAATCTATCGGTTTCAGGACATCCAAGAAAAGCTAGATATGTACCATAGGATCTCTAGATTCGTTGAAATGGTCAATGTGTGACATTTTGAATCTATCTGGAAGTCTTACGACAGCCTCGGTGTACCCATCCTCAATGTTGGGAATGGAGGTAATTCCCTGTGCCCTTTTGAATTGCTTCTCAAGTTTAGCAATTTTTACCAAGGTTGGGTCGAGGTCATTAACATCAAGGGGATAAAGCCCCTCATTAGGCTACACCGAGGGTCTGAAAACTCGAGCTTGAGCCAACCCTTCTCAGGGATCTAGACCTTGCAAAACTTCAGTTGGCGAAGGTGGATCAAAGTTCGGCTGGGGGCCTGAGACTGGATGTGTGGTAGGTGCCCCAGATAGGCATTGCATTTTAGCATTAGTCTCATCCTGTATGGCAATTCCCTGGTTTAACGCCGCTATCATGGCCACAACTTCTTCTAGACTCTGTGCCATCACAGGTCTGCTGAGTTGAACAAAGGTGATCTAACTGGTGACTGTCGGATCAGTGGAACCCGTGAGCCCTATTTGGCCCTTCTTTGCCTTGCCACCGGTGAAGGAAACACTGGTTGCCCTTGAACTAAACTTCTGGTCTAATAAAGTCTATTAACACTAGTCCAGAGTACCCAGGGGATATCAGAGCCTTTTGAAGCTATAGTTCTAGGACTACCTAACAAAAGAGAAAACAGACAACACCTCAGCCTGGTTTCACTAGAACATATATGATCACAGCTGAATGACTGTACTCTTTACTGAATTCTGCCCCAAAATCAGATACCAAACTTGCAACTAATATGCACATTCCTGTATAGTTTCACTGTAAAGCACATACCAGTTAAGTGAGAGCCAAAACACCCCTATGAGGGGGGTAAGGTTACCCTGTTCTAGTTTCTTCATGAGCTAGGGTTCGCTATTCAAGCAAAGTGGTTTCACACATTCCTGTATTCGGGTGAACAACCTGTCCTAGTTTGGAACAGTCTCTATAGCTTTCGATATGCAACTTGGTCGATTGGTCAAAAAAGGTACCTCAACAAGACAACCTAATATACCTCTCACACCTAACACTGAGAAGTGAAAGGAGGATCAAACGGTACAGCGGTAATCCAGATCTAAGGGTTGTGCTCCCATCGTGGCAGAGCCCGCGACCGGTCAGCTTTTTGGCAAGCTTTTCCAAGCAAGCCTTTGGCAAACCGTCCAGGAATAGCAGATAACAAACACAGTGACTTAGGCGCACCAATGCAAATGTGTCACGACCCAAACCGGTCCCTATGGGTTTAGCATTGTAACCGGCCAGTAATCCGTGATTACCAAAGACCTTCTTATCAACAATGACAATAATGCAATAAAAAGGGGTTGGCGAAAGCCAATCAATAATAGAATATATCGTCCAATGAGTTGTGAGGACTTAAGTGAACAAAATAATCTTTTTTATACTTGTATATGCATAACACTTAAGCCCACCATTCACTTATAGACAAAACAAAACATGAGATAGGGAATTAAATCCCATTGCCAAAATAGTAGTAACAAAAGTCATAAAACACACGTAATCCTTAATTACAAATCAAAAGGGTGAATTCGAGCCACCCAAGCTTTGACACATATTGGTTCGGAACCTCGTGGTGAGGCACAATGGTTGGCTTGACAAAACAAGATTCGGGTCGACGTCGCTAACTCTGATTCGGTGCTCGATCACCTATATATATATATAATAAACAATGAGCTAGAGCCCAGTGAATAACAACTGTGTAAAGGAGTTATAAATGATGTCCTTACAATAATTGAAACAGTCAATTCATCCATAAATCAATTTCTCAATCAATGTTTCATATCATATCAATCATTTCGATTCATAATAATCATACGTGGTACATCCCATAGCAGAACAATCAATAGGTCTTAAAGACTGAACGATCACTTGATCGCTATCAATACAATAACAATAGTTCCAAGAACTGGAACTGACAAAGATATTTGTAACAATAACAATAGCAATATGTTATGGATGCCACAAGTACAGTTCCGCAAAATAGGACAACCATTCATCAATAAACATTATCATTTCAGTGAAACAATACATTTTTATCAATCAGAAAATAATTATAAGGGAACATAGCTTTACAACAGTGTTACTCACAGTGGGCTCCTCAAAATACGTGCTAAAGTTGCACTACAATGCAGCATCCGACCTAAACAAATAAATTCAAGCACAACAATTCAATTACATTCGTACTCTTACAATTCTATTCAATTCGATTACTTGATTTCTATTTGGTTTCTCTCGTTCAGTTCTAACTTTCATTCTTTTTTTGTATAATTCAATCCCAAAATCCACAAAAATAAGCTTGAACTTTAATTTTCAATTATCAAATACAACCCATAAGTTTATAACCAAATTCAATTGTTCAATTTATAACCGAAAATATGTAAAGCAATTATAAATCATAAAATGTATGTTCAAGCTTCAATTTAAGCTTTTAAATGAGAATTTCTTTGAAATTATGCGAGACCAAGTAAAAGATCATGTGTATGAAACTAATTTGTCCATGAGATGATCAAATTTCTTGGACTCAAGCATATCTAGTATAAAAATCATAATTACAAAATAAAACCCAAATTTTCAATTCAAAGAGCACAAACTTTAATTAAAGTATAAAATCATAGAACATATATTGTTTGAGTTCCAAATTCATCTTTCATGGAAAATTCTTTAAGCCATGCAAGAAAACTTTAAAATACGGACATGAATTTCCAACTTCAAAAACAAACCCAATTTGCTAATTGAAAGCCCAAAACTTCAATCAAATTGTAAAAACATAAAATATATAGTTAGATGCTTCAACTTAAAAATCCATGAGGAAGTTCTTTTGAAATCCTTAGGAGCCATAGAAATCATGTAAGAAAATAAGTGGTTAAACAAGAATTTCACGAAATGAAACCTGCATGTCAAAATATTGAACTAAATTCTTCAAATCTACCATGCATGTACATAATATGAGCTCAATCCTTACAATTTCTTCCTTATCTTGTTCATTCATATATTCTACTTCATTTTACTCCATAAAAACAATAATTAGGCTTGATTCCTTCTTAATTAAACTTAAATTCCATAAATTCATGAGTGTAACATCTCAATTTCAAGAAATTAGAAGAAAATTCTTACCTTAGAGGGTTGATTTGTGAATAGCAAGCCTAATTTCCCTTAATTCTTTTGTTTCTCCTCCACTTTCTTGAATTCCCTCCCTGGAAGTCTCTCTCTCTCTCTCTCTCTCTCTCTCTCTCTCTCTCTCTCTTTACATGTGGCTCAACAATGCCCACTACCTCTCATATTTCTTATTAAATGGGTGAGTAGAAAAACAAGTCCTATTCTATATACTTAAGTACATTTTTGGCTAATTAATTACTTGAATTAAATTATAACAAATTCACTTTAATTAAATTAATTTTGAGCATATTATGACCTCAATTACACTAAATTTAATTCCACTAGTGTGAATTAGGCTCTAATTATCCATCTCTAAACTCAATACAAGTAATAAGAGTCAAACATGACTTTACAAATCAGACAAAATCAATTTTTAATTAAACTTCCCAGATGATTCTAAAAATTCTAATTAATATATCCATGTACTCCATTTCAGTTTCTGAACCCATTTCAACCTTCAATTTCAGTTTCAAAGTTGTATTCTCAACGGATAATTTCTCAATTTGGACAGATATAGACAAATTAAATCATATAGCCCGCAATTAACACATGGGTAATCCAGATAATTATGATTTGCATTTTTGGGGTGTTATAGTCTCCCCACCTTAAGAAGTTTGGCCCTCCAAACTTACCTTGCCTTGTATCAAGTCTCGATCAGATATCCCGGTCTCATATCATCGTTCATTTTCCCCACTCAACACTTGTCACAAATGTTCGACTTCATTTCTTAGTCAGTCAACAGTTCACAAGTCAATTCGGGAATCAAAATCAATGATCCATCATAGTTACTCAGAAGTCATTAATATACATGACACACCCATAACTTAATCCCACGGTAGCGAATGCCACTTCAAAGTAATCAATCACATAATAGGCACAAGTCTCATTTCCCACAGATATAATTGCGTGACACACCTATACAGAGTTAAACACAGGACATAGAAATCAGGATTTACAAACAATTTAGTTTGTTGTCATCAAGTCCCATAGCATGAAATTCTAAGTACCGTAACACAAGGGAACCATGGACTGACTTAATAGTTACGGTAATATCAAAGCAATAATTTATATCCTCCCATAGAATCAACAATAAACTGCGATAACCCAGAAGAAACTATGCGCTTAGTCGATCAAGCACAGTCATTCAAGAGTCACCAGAATTATAAAGCAGATTCATGTTTCAATTCCGTGACAGTCAATATAACACTAAAATACTCAGTTATAGCACATATAAAATTCTTATACTCCCAGTAATTAGGATTTACAACCAAACTAGGTTGTTGTCAACATAACACGGTAGCAATTATTCTCTTAACCAAATAGTCTCTTGATAGTAACGGTAATACGGACACAAGTAATCACATATCACACATAGTTCATATATTCTCATAACATGACTCCCAAAAGTTGATAATACTTAAGCAACCAGTTCCTTTTATAACTTCTGACATTATCTGGTAGTCACCAAGAATAGTTAATAAATTCGTATAGTAAGTTCTGACAAATGTGATACTGAGGTAATTAAGCCCAAAACATATCGAACTCATATATTTTCAGGTGTTCAAAATTTTTCCTTCTCAAGTAATGTCCATGATCAATATAGTTCTGATAGTTTCAGGTCTAAATCATGGTAAAATAGAAACAATTCAGTTCATCTATAACACATATATTTTCAATCAATCTGATAAAAGTGTAAGTTCCAGAGCTCACTCCAGAGAGCAGCACTCCAGCCCAAGCTCACAACAGCAGCAGCAGATTAAACTTCCTCATACTAATGATAACAGAACTCGTGGAATTGGTTAGCTTAGACTTTTAGATATAGTTAGTTACAGAGAGGTAGATATAGTTAGTTAAGAGTTTGTTATAACAAACTCTTAACCACTTGTATAAATACTTGTAACCAAGTTGTTATTGAATGTGAAAAATAAGAGATCATTCTGATCTTTTTCATGGTATCAGAGCCATGAGCTCTCACGAGCATCAAAGTGCTTCAATGGAAAATTCTTCATTCCACAAAACCTTACTCTTCTACTTTCAAATTTCAATTCCTTCATAACTGTCAAGTTAGATTCTGCAAATTTTCTGATTTGGAAAAATCAAGTTCAAAATATCTTAAGAGCAACTGATCTTCTTGACTTTGTTCTTGGACTGAAAGCTTGTCCAAACTCTGAAGTTCTTGATTCATCTGGAAAAACTGAAGCTAATCCAGAATTTCTTCAATGGAAGACAATGGATGCTCATCTACTCAGTTTTCTCACTGCTACACTGTCATCACCTGTATATGCTTCAGTGATTCAATATCAACACTGCTTTGAAGTTTGGCATGCTCTGGAAAAGCGATACACATCTCTCTCTCGTTCGCATATTCATCAATTAAAGAATAAATTGCAGTCTGTTACGAAAAAAGGATTTACCATGACTGAATACCTGACTCAAATCAAAGAGATCTCTGACCAGCTTCGGCTTGCTTCATCAACAATTGACGATGAAGATCTTGTACTCTTAACTCTGAATGGCTTACCAGAGTAGTATGATGCACTTAAAACAACCATACGTGCTCGAGTGGAATCCATTACAATGGATGATCTGTGTTCACTCTTGAGTTCTGAAGAAATTCATGTTGAAAACAAAGCCAGACTTGTTGTTTCTGCTTCTCCAGTAGCTTATGCTGCAACCAAAGGTTCTGAGATTTCACAGTCCTCTCCTCAATATTCGAAATCACATTTTACTAATCCTTCTAGTTACAGAGGTCGGGGTCAATTTCGTGGTTATAGAGGAGGGCGAAACAGAGGCGGACGGTTTTATAAGCCTCACAGGGGAAGGTCTACTTCCACTAACAACAATGGTTGTCAGATCTGTGGAGGTTATAATCATAGTGCCTTTGACTGTTGGTGGAGAATGGATCCTAACTTTCAACCTCTCAATTCCAATTCTTCCTCTCAATCTTCACCTCACGGTGTGTCTCAACCACATGCATATTCTGTTACCAGTGCACCAACCACTTCCTTCTCTGCTTCGTCTACTCCTTGGTACATTGATTCTGCAGCTACAAACCACATCACTAATGATCTTGCAAATCTTCATCTGTATCAACCATATCAAGGTCAAGATCAAGTCACTGTAGGTAATGGTCAAACTGTTCCAATCCAACACATTGGTAAGGGTTTATTACCTACTCCCCACTGCTCTTTTCGTCTCAATCATCTTCTTCATTCACCACATATTTCTTCAAATTTACTATCTGTTCATCAATTGGCCAAAGACAATAATTGTTCAGTTACTTTTGATGCTGATTCATATTTTATTCAGGACAAACATACGAGACAAATTCTTCATAAAGGTCCTACAGTGAATGGCTTATATCATTTTGGTGCATCACCATCTTCCTCTTTCTCTCAGGCTCATATTATTCAGTCACAAGTCTCTCTACCAGTTTGGCATCAGAGACTTGGTCATCCATCTCCTTTGAAATTTCATCATGTTGCTAAGCATCTACCTCATGTTTTTCGAAATAAAGAGTCCAAGAACTTTGTTTGTACTCCATGTAATGTTGCTAAAGTTCACAGGTTACCTTTTAAATTGTCTAGTACTACTGCTAGCCAACCCTTTTCCCTTGTTCACTGTGATGTATGGGGGCCTTTTAATTCATCATCTACTAGTTACAAATACTACTTGTTGTTTGTGGATGACTTTACCAAATTTACATGGATCTATCCTCTTCATGCTAAAAGTGAAGTATTCTCCACTTTCTTACACTTCAAAACTTATGCTGAAAATCAGTTTTCTACTTCATTAAAAATTTTACGAACAGATAATGGCACTGAGTTTGTTAATAAACAAATGCATGATTATCTTGTTACTAATGGCATTCTTCATCATCTTACCTGTTCTTATACTCCTGAACAAAACGGAGTGGCTGAGCGCAAGCATCAACACATTACTGAAACTGCAATTGCTTTGTTATATCAGTCCTCTGTTCCTCTTCAATTTTGGTTTGAAGCTATGGCTACTGCAGTCTTTCTTATTAACAGGTTGCCTAGTTTGTCTCTTGGTCATAAATCTCCCTTTGAATTGCTCTTTCACACTTTACCTGATTATACATTCCTTAAAGTTTTTGGTTGTCAGTGTTTTCCTTGGCTTCGGCCTTACGTAGCTCACAAATTGGCTCCTCGATCCACCCCATGCGTGTTTCTAGGCTACCACTCTACTATCAAAGGTTACCAGTGTTTGGACCCTATCTCAGGCAAGATCTATATCTCTAGACATGTCACTTTTAATGAATCCTATTTTCCATTCACTGCTCTTTCCTCCACTTCTTCTAGCTTACCTTCTCTTCAATCTTTCTTCACTCCTGGTTCTATTTCTCCTGCTCCTATTGCTCCTTCTCCTACTTCTTCTCCTGTTTCCTCCGTTTCAGTTCCTTCATTCTCTGTACCTCCTCCTACCTTCACTTCCACTAGTTCGCACCCATCATATTCTTCTCCTTCTGTACCTCCTCATGCTTCTCCTCTTAGTTCCTCTTCTCTCCATTCTTCTCCTATTCCCATTGATTCCATTGCTATTCATCTTCCTCTTTCTTCACCTACTGCTCCTCTCAATACTCACCCCATGATCACTCGGTCCAAAGCTTGTCACCTTACTACCTCCTCTTCTCTTGATCTCTCTACTACTGAGCCTCTCTCTACTCATCAGGCTTTATTGTCTCCCCTTTGGACTGCAGCAATGAATGCCGAATTTCAGGCCCTTCAGCAGCAACGCACATGGACTTTAGTTCCCTTACCTTCTAATAAAACCGCAATTGGTTGCAAATGGGTTTTCCGGATTAAGAAAAATTCTGATGGCACTATCGCTCGATACAAGGCTCGTTTGGTCGCCAAGGGCTACCTCCAACAAGAAGGTGTTGATTATCAGGACACCTTCAGTCCTGTCGCTAAGCAACCAACCATCCGGATCTTATTATGCCTTGTGTTGCAGCGGAATTGGGTTCTCAAGCAGTTAGACATTTCAAATGCTTTTCTCCATGTCAAGTTGGATGAAGAAGTTTACATGACCCAGCCTCAAGGTTTCATTAATGCCTCTACTCCTA